CGATACTAAAATTTTGTCTATATTCCTCATTAAATTTTAACTATTTAGAAAAAATCTCTAAAGAATATGCCATTATATAGAAAAAAGTATGCTCTTTCGTTTGGAATTGACCGATGTTCGAAATTCGGCTTAGAAGTATCACTTTTTTTCAATTTAGTATTGAAAAAACCGTGAAAATTCGCTAACGAACGATACTAAAATTTTGTCTATATTCCTCATAAAATTTTAACTATTTAGAAAAAATCTTTAAAGAATATGCCATTATATAGAAAAAAGTGTGCTCTTTCGTTTGGAATAGACCGATGTTCGAAATTCGGCTTAGAAGTATCACTTTTTTTCAATTTAGTATTGAAAAATCCGTGAAAATTCGCTAACGAACGATACTAAAATTTTGTCTATATTCCTCATAAAATTTTAACAATTTAGAAAAAATCTCTAAAGAATATGCCACTATATAGAAAAAAGTATGCTCTTTCGTTTGGAATTGACCGATGTTCGAAATTCGGCTTAGAAGTATCACTTTTATTCAATTTAATATTGAAAAAACCGTGAAAATTCGATATCGAACGATACTAAAATTTTGTCTATATTCCTCATAAAATTTTAACGATTTAGAAAAAATCTTTAAAGAATATGCCATTATATAGAAAAAAGTATGTTCTTTCGTTTGGAATTGACCGATGTTCGAAATTCGTTTTAGAAGTGTCACTTTTTTTCAATTTAGTTTTGAAATAACCGTGAAAATTCGCTAACGAACGATACTAAAATTTTGTCTATATTCCTCATAAAATTTTAACTATTTAGAAAAAATCTCTAAAGAATATGCCATTATATAGAAAAAAGTATGCTCTTTCGTTTGGAATTGACCGATTTTCGAAATTCGGCTTAGAAGTATCACTTTTATTCAATTTAATATTGAAAAAACTGTGAAAATTCGCTATCGAACGATACTAAAATTTTGTCTATATTCTTCATAAAATTTTAACTATTTAGAAAAAATCACTAAAGAATATGCCATTATATAGAAAAAAGTATGCTCTTTCGTTTGGAATTGACCGATGTTCGAAATTCGGCTTAGAAGTATCACTTTTTTTCAATTTAGTATTGAAAAAACCGTGAAAATTCGCTAACGAACGATACTAAAATTTTGTCTATATTCCTCATAAAATTTTAACTATTTAGAAAAAATCTCTAAAGAATATGCCATTATATAGAAAAAAGTATGCTCTTTCGTTTGGAATTGACCGATGTTCGAAATTCGGCTTAGAAGTATCACTTTTTTTCAATTTAGTATTGAAAAAACCGTGAAAATTCGCTAACGAACGATACTAAAATTTTGTCTATATTCCTCATAAAATTTTAACTATTTAGAAAAAATCTCTAAAGAATATGCCATTATATAGAAAAAAGTATGCTCTTTCGTTTGGAATTGACCGATGTTCGAAATTCGGCTTAGAAGTATCACTTTTTTTCAATTTAGTATTGAAAAAACCGTGAAAATTCGCTAACGAACGATACTAAAATTTTGTCTATATTCCTCATAAAATTTTAACTATTTAGAAAAAATCTCTAAAGAATATGCCATTATATAGAAAAAAGTATGCTCTTTCGTTTGGAATTGACCGATGTTCGAAATTCGGCTTAGAAGTATCACTTTTTTTCAATTTAGTATTGAAAA